GTGGTTTTACTACGTCAGCTGCATCAGCCCCCTCTTCACCTTCTTGGTGCTAATGTATCTATCGGGTGTACCGCTTGCTGAGGATCGGTACGACGAGCGGTTTGGATTAGATCAAGATTATCTCGAATACAAACGATCCACTAGTCCACTGATTATGCTGCCTCCAAAAGTCTATCGGGATTTGCCTGAACCGATCAAGCGCTGGTGTTTTTTCGAGCTGAGGCGCTATTCACGTAAGCTTCGCGACGGGTCAAACTATGAAACGATTCATTAGATTTGACGCTTGTATTTTAATTTTCAATTGGTGAGTTACTCATTTACCTGCTTAAAACATTCCATGTCATTCATAAGAGCTTAACACACTGGTCCATACTAAGATGCCGTCTAAACCACCCCGCTTACCTTAATGCTTAATGCCTTCGCAAGGTGTTGGCGTTGTCCGCATTAAGTTTCAAATACATTTTTTTAAGAGAGAAAAAAATATGGCTTGAGAGCACTATTGTCTGGGGTCGAAGAGAGCACGTTGTGGGCTCTTGAAAGAAAATATTTGACCGAATTCCATTGATCTCTAGATATCAGTAGAGATTTTGACCAAGAACATGATGCGAATCTGTAGATCTCTTCAAGCAATAGAAGATAAATTAGGTGGTTAAACAACTCAAGAGACCAATATCTGGCTGTTGTTTATCAAAGCATCCCATTTAGATAAAGTACTGAATAGTTGAGCTCTGGCAGAAAAATTATTTTTTTGCCGCCTTTTGAGCATGACATGCTTAACGAACGACTTAAGCTGAATGTACAAGCAAAATCATACGACTGTGGTCTCTAATCTCTTATTCATAATACCATTGTTTTGCAATATATGTCTTCAAGCCACTCTCTTTTGAATTTCTATTCACTGTAAATCAGGCTCTAGGTTTGGCCCAACTCAGAAAAATGTTAAAATTGGATTTTTATAAATTGTTAAGCGAACTTGACAAGAGCAGACTTCAAAACAAGCAGCTTCTTGTCGTGAACAAGGTAGAGACTATTTGTAGCTCTAAAATCGCAATATACAAACGCAGTTACGTGTCCATGCCCATTGGCATCGACTGTGCTTTTCTGCACGTCAATACCGGGACAAAAACACGACAGCCGACAGGAAATGAGCGGGCCAAATCTGGAGGGAGAAAAAAAGTGGCGCACGCGTCTTTACAATAATCGTCGAGGTCAACCACACGAACACCATTTGACGCCCATTTTAAGAAAATTGACATGGGGCGTTGCCATATCGGCATAGATTTTACAAAAATTGGAAAAGTTACTTACGTAAACTACCTTGAGGTGGTGGCACTGATCAATCTACCATGACCTCAATCTCAGTTGAATGATGCCCGAGGACCGTACTTCCCGAAAAGCATTCCAAACGTAGAGTTTGTCAGCGCCAAAGACACATTTGTCTATATTGGCAAATAGATTGTTCAAGCGCGTGCACTCTAGTACCGCTCCCAAGCGTTCTATATTAGTGGCCAAAACATGACTTTCTATGCTCCACTCACTTCTGGAAAATATATCTATGTATTTGGCCTCGATGTAGCCTAAACAACACAATTGTACTTTTTCACCAAGCGAAGGCGAACTATTTCTATTTTCAGCAAGGTTTGGACCCTCTCCCTGAGACTTACAATCGCACGTTTCCCCGAGAATTCATCCCTGGAGCTTGGCTTTGCACTGGATTTGTTTCAGCAGGGTCACACACTAGAGACCACAACTCGTCGCTGTTTTCCCCGTAACATTTGGCTATTGCATCTCTAGACTGTTCTTTGGGTCTGAATAGGGATTTAATTTTTGGACTTTGGCCAGCGGTCGCTTGATGTTTCCGCAGAGAAAATTTTTTTTTTAAAAAAAACTGTGACTCAGAGCCAATCCTGCCTTTTGATCTTTGCTCAAAGCTTCTAGCAATGTCATTACAATCAGTTTGCAAATTTGCCTATCATACGCCAAAATTGTAGTTACTATTTGTCCACATCAAGAGCACCTGGATTATAGCATAGATATATCATGAATCATCAATGCCCCATCAAAGAACAAGTGCATGATATCTAAATTTCCGACCTTTAGTCGATAGATGGCTCACTACTTTCCAGCCAAGCATATTAAGATGAAGTTACATTCGGGATACAGGCGTAGGGACAAAATGGTATCACGCTGTAAGTGGACGATTTCGCGAGTGTCTACTTCGAGAAATGCACGTAACAGGCCACACACTTGGGTTCTCAGACCTTAGCGTACCCCTAATCGATTGCGACAGTTGTGTCTTGCATCAACTTACACGACGCCATAAAAATGTCAATTTTCCGTGAGTTCAGAAATCTCTGGGTGTTGGTATTCAACAGCCAGAACGCGCAAAAGATGCGCTTGTGTTGATCAAAATGCGACTCGACAGCGAATATGGTTTCTTCAGCTTGCCTAACGTCTATCGCCTTTGTCACGCATAGAACCTCAGCTCATCTGACCCTTTTAGATCATAACTTATCTGAGTGCTATATGCAACAATTGTTATTCGATCCGGAGAAGTTGGATGCTTACGAACGGAGAAGGTGCAAGACGCATTTGTACGAAGCCTTTCGTATTAGCTGTGACTGTTATCAGTTTGGTAAAGGGGTCAGCTGACATCCAGTTACGAACAGCTGAAACCTTGAATGAAGCCCAGCAATTTGTCTTTCCTGTGTAAGATGTAGACCGCGCGGCTGGTCTAATCAAGCGGCTGAAACGCTTGCGAGTACTTTCGCTTAAGTAGTTTATTATGACCCATTGCTTCATTTGGTCGGACGTGAAGGCTCTCGACTCGACTCGTCTTCATGAATTAATGACTATTCTCGTTTCCAAACAAGAAGTTGATGTCGCCTCGGTCTCTGTTTTTTGCTGCTGGAAATTCACCTCAAATCCCCCATGATTAAAGAACAACCAAATTGATCGCTCATGGTAGTCTGGATTTGATGATGGGATTTGTCGCGACATTTTGCAAAACTAGTCCTGATGCTGAAGGTGCCTCGTTCATACAGGTACAGCTCGTGTTTCCCAAATTTGCGTGAATCCACCAAGCATGGCCACTGCAAACGGGCAACGTGAATAAATAATCTAAGGCATGACTGAATCACAATACTTTCAACCTTGATTATCTCAAAAGAGATTCTTTCGCTCACACTCGTGGACACCACGCTCGCCAAATACGGCAACACGAAACGAGCTAAGTAAATTCTTCGCAGGTGCCCTGTTTGGAGGTTCCTGAGGTAATTCACCACCTCATTTTTCTAACCAGTGAAACCCTACAGGAAATCAATAAATATTGAGACCTTGAACCTAGCTTTGTGTCAGGGCGTTAATATGCAAAAGCCTCGAAATTGGTCAGAATATTATTCAAATTTGCTAGTACTGATATTGCTGAGACCCTAAGCGGAGCTCGGAAGGCAGAAGTAACAGACAGTTGGGGTTTTCGAGTCAGCGGGATCTAGTAAACGCATGTCACAGTGTTCAGAGTGTATACCTGATGGGACGGATGACAATCCGAAGGGAGGATCCCGAGATATTGCACAGGGCAGTGATACTGTCTCTCGTGCGTAAAACAGTGGATTTAGTGCAGAACTTGCCACCAGTTTTCTTCTTCGAGAAGGGTAACATTTAGTGGTGAATTGTGCTAGACTCTACATCCTAAAGTGACTCCGTCATATTGCCAAATTTTAAAAATTACGTGCTACAGAACAATACGGTCTTTTGTACCCTGTATAGTTGTGTCCTTGACATAGCCCATGAGTATTATCAATTGCTGATCACAAATCAGTGATATTCCTCTTATTGCAACTATAAACTGGTGTGGGATGCTCTAGCAGCTGCTGGAGCTGCTTTAAACATCTCTTAAACATTAGCGGTATTCAACAGTAGCTGAACGGCTTCATCATGTGTAAGCATACCTACCTAGACGACAAATATGACCTTCCTAGACGATATATATGTCCATAGTCGCGCAGGACACGACTATTAAAATTTCGAGTTAAAAAGTATGAACTGCGGGTAGATCATGCAAAGATCAATGTGATTTGGCCTGCAAACGTTGCTGATAATCTGCAGCCTCTCAACAGTTGTTGTGAAAAGGGTGCTAATTGATGCTGGAATGCGTCAGCTTCAAAGACCACAAAAGGAACCTCATGTGCAGCCCAATCTGACGATTATTTTCGTTTCCTTCATCTCTATTGCTGTTACACTTCACCATATGCTTGCCTTTCGTCAATCAGATTCCAACGGTCATGATCGCATCATTGTAATAGATTATTGATGGCTTAAAGCGGAAGAAAAAAGTTATCCAGCTTACAACAAGGATCTACTAAATGACAAGTATGCCCTGGTCAAGTACTCCTGTGTCCCCTTCAAAATCTCGCAAATTGCTTCTGAATTTGATCGTCAAGGCTGTAGATTTTGATTGATCCGTTGATATCAGCTCAGCAGCATTTTGTAAATCGACGAACATATCGCGAAGAGGTTGAGTGTCTGTGGTTGCGGCAATGCCTGAGAGCTAGAACTTGCAGGGGGCGCATAAAGTTGTCGTTTGTGATCAGATCTAATCACACGCAATTTTTCTACCTACACCTTTTCTGTCTGTAGCAGACTAAAATTTGTACTCGCCACAATGGACCCTTCATATTCGTATTCGAAAATGGAATAATCGTATTCTAAAGATTCCTCGGGTGATGTAAGTAAATCCTGACTTTTATTTGGGCTTTGTAGAGCCAAAACACAATTGCGTTTTATTAAATACTTGTGATATATTAGCGATCCCCTGTAGTGGTGGAATGATTCACGCTAGAGCAACCAAAAGTATCTGGGAAGCTTGGAGCACCTCAAGTCAAACGTTCTAGTTGCAGAAATAGAGCGCGTATAAAGATGACTCATTTGAACCTCACATTAAAAGTCCTTGACGGTGTCGACTGCCACCGCGACAATAAAATTTTTAGGCGTCACCCGAATGAGGTCGCTATCTACCGTACCTGCTCGATGTGCAAGGGTAGTGAATTTTCATGTAAAAAGGATATCAGCCGACGAAGCGTCGCGCAGCCCAACGCGCACTTCACTCGTGAGTGGAGGTCAGCTTCCTTCCAAGTTAAGACTTGTTTGATAGATGACTTATGGGTTTGATTAGGGCTATAGACAACACGAACGGAAGGCGTGGGAGAGTGCATACCTGGATGTCGACGACGCGCTTTGTACTTGACAAAGCCAAGTGTTCAGTGACGCTTCAGTCGAAGTGACTAATTTGCTGAAATTGGATTGTAACGCTGTTAGACAAATAAGATCACGTGTTTTATATATAAAAAAACATATGGAGTCAGATACTCTTTGGCGGTTTTGTTAGAGCGTTATGTCGCGGTGTCATTAACATTAGTTGTTCAAATTTCCTCAACTGATGCTAGTTCGACAGCAAGCGATAACCAAGATTAAGTAGATGTTGATTAACACGAACGCATGATCCCGTTTGAGCCTTGTCAGTTTAGAGCAGTTGAGGAGAGCTACGCGACAAAGAGGTCACGTGCAATGAAGTATGCGCTCTTCAAGTTCAGGGTGCGTATACTTGGCTATCCGGCTTTTGTGATCGCAACAGACCATTCCTTATTTTGTATAACGATGTAATTACCACAGAAACGCAAGATGGCTAGCTCTTTTGCCGAAAATACCTTCGGGACTTTGTATCGGCCGTTTAGCTTATTGTGCTGGCGGATTCGCTCTTCCGTCGCATGACACGATGGTAATGTCTTCCTTTTATTAGGCAATACTTAAAGCGTTCTGGTCGGACGCAATACCCTTTGCATTGCTAATATCTTGGGCAGCAAGAAATCTGATAACTCATTTGACGCTGTATCAAAACAGCCGAGTACTCATCTGCAATCCCTTTTGCCACGGCTTGCGTATCACAGCACCCATCCACTTGAATATTATCATTTAGTGGTGCCTCATGATGAGTACAAATACAGCTGGAAGCACATGGTACACCTTGGACTACAGCTTTAGAAAAAGACGTACTACTCACTGAGCTATGTCTTTGTGGCTTATGGGAAAGTACGTCTGTGAGCACGTGTGAGGTGCGCGCATGGAATTTACCATTGCTGCATGCGTCGGTCTCTCTGGACCAATGACTATTTTGGCAATAAGTTGGCGGTTTATCAGTATAAGCATTCCTTTCGGTCTTTCAAATGATGCGTCAGGTTATACCGGCATTTGGTCATTGTGGATCATCTGAGCAAAATCGCCCACATCACTGCTGTCAGCGATACTGACACAGTGAACATTCGGCTAAGCTCTTCCTCAAGAAATGGTTTTGCCATCAGTAGCGGTTTCTGGCAGCCATTTACTGGATATAAGTATGCGCTATAAGCAAAGCTTTGACAACACTGGATGGAACGCACTTGCGTAGTCGAGAATACCTTCGAGGCTTTTTGAGAAAAGACCGCGGTGCTGTAGTAAGGTGCTTCCACTCGCTTTATTGCTCTGTATAATACAGTGCACACCTCTACAGGCACTGCGACAATCTCGAAAATCGTTTGGCTAGCTCAGATGCCTTTGATACTGCTACGAAGTAGCTCCAATTTTAGGTAAGCGCTGTCTCTAACCCGACCTGTTGGTATCAATTTGTAAAAAATCCGCCATCATGATCCCACTCATTGCATAAACCTGATGGGGTTCATGTTTGCAACGGGCAGGTATGACCCCAAAATTCAACGTTAAACTCCTGTTTGAAGATTTCAAGACAAGTCGAATCTTGTAACACATCTCTTGTCCATGTTTTTTCTATGCAAGCACCCAGCTTAGCTCGACACATTTTCGACCCGGTACCAGCGTTCACGAGACATTGTGTGAGATTTGTGCTCAGTATTCACTGCCGTTGCTTACTTGTGATCATCGTCGCTGCTCATCGCTTACTGGTTTGTTGATGGCATATCGTCTTTGTCGCCCGTGCTGACAACATAAGCAAGCACAGCCTCAAAAAAAGCTTTTCCATCGTTCTGGCTTGCTTCGCACTTGATGGCTTGATTTTCCCTTCCACCTCCTGCTGTTGGTCCTTGATTACATCATCATCAAGCAGAATCACAGGCTCTGTTGATCTGCTTGTCCGACTTGGATTTACGTGATTTGCAAGCCTGTGTTCCGTGATTACATCTTGAAATCGGAGGCTCTACGATGCCAGCTTCATGCCAGTTGTTGAGGGAGTAGGATGCGAGGGCAGTTGGGGCAGTGAGACCTCTTGATTTGACTTGATCTCAGTCATTTCAGTATCGGAAGCTTGATTCTCGAAGCCTTCCAGGAGTTCGTCTGTAACCGGTTGCTTTCGGCCGCAAATCCTAATGTCTCTGTCATAATCATCCTAGGTCACGTAAATAATCATTTTTGCTTTGGTAAATTTGCGGTGTATATGCACCCCTCTTCACACTCACCTAGATGTACCAACCGTGTCATATTGATCTAAAACTTCTTACGTCAAAACGCGATACTTTTATTTCTACAGATTCGAAAAACATGTACCAAAAACTCCAAGGATCGAGCTTTGCTGTTTTGGCGTCATCAACATGCGCGTATACCTGCGTTCGATGCACCTGAAAAAGTTTCAATGACGTCTGAGTTCGCCTTGTTTGTCAAGTGTTTGATGGCGTACACCGCCGTGCTGACTACTTTAGCCCGCTACTCAGAAGATATGTTTTAAGCTTGAAATACTCGTGCTTTTCTATGATCGTACGCTGAATCCATTCCTCCAATACGTTCTGCTGAAGGATAAACAACTCGATGCACTGATGCATGATGCCACGCCTCGGCAACTTTCCTATTCACAAATTTTGTCTTGTTATTCGATCGTACATTCGATAGTACACCATAAACTCGTCTAGCTAGGCGGCTACCTCACTCTTGTGTTATATGAAACATGTTATCACAAATCGTGAGAACCATCCATATACGTTAGCACATTCCGTGTACCACCCTTTGCGACCGGATTATCGGGCTCACCACGTTAGTGTGAATAATCTCTAGCGCACTCGATGTCTTCGTAATGATTTATGAAAGATTCAAAAAGAACCTTCTGCTTCCCATCATGTATCCGTCCACCACAGAGCTTCTCAACGCCTTGCTTTATCGCCCGCATTCTCCTCGAAGCGTGTGGTGTCTAAACCTGAGTGTCCCAAGCAAGCTACAACAAACATCCTGGAATGTTTAGATCCTCAACCATTTCAATTTGCTATCCGTTAAGCCCAACCACGTACCCTATCGATGTTATATTTTTGATCACGAGGTTTTGGATGCCGGTTCGGAAGTCACCATTGTGGATGGCAAGAAGATGCAAGTCGAGATGCAAGTCCCAAGCCATCCACAATGGTGACTTCCGAACCGGCATCCAAAGCCTCGTAATCAAAAATATAACATCGATGGGAAATTTGGTTTCGCTGTCAACCAGCCACCCAGCGTGCCGATCTTTCCCCCATTTCAAAAATAGCACCATCTTGCTCGGCGCCACTTGGATTCATGCAGTCTCGCTTCTGATAATCTGTTGGGTTGTGAGTTGTAGAAAGCAAAATGTGAGTGAATACATTTTTTATTCTTATTTGCTCAATGACTTGCCACACGCCCTCTGTGCGTTTGTGAACAGATGATTCGTTGAGTCAAAGCTTCATCTGCGCAAGGTGGACGGCGACTTCGCTGCACGTATGAAGTGGTGACATGTGGAGGAGGCAGCACATTAAGAGCGCATGTTGTACTTTTCGATAGAGATGTAAGTCCTCATAGATAGAAGCATTTACGTCCTGTGAGATATGCTGCAGCTCATAACCTTTCACATGGCATAACAGGTGCGCTAAGAACCAACGGATCCTCGTGTGGAATGGTTGTTTGAGATAATCAAATGCCAAAACTTATTAGTGATCTGAGAGTTATTTGGTTGTGATAAAAGGTCTTGTTGATTGCTTAGTAATTAATCGAATTGTTTCGCCATTTTCTCTTACGACTCTAGTATCACCATAAGTAATTCGCAATTTAAAATATAAAATACGGAGAATAAAAAATGCCCAACTTTTGCCATATATAAAAAATACCCCAGTACGTAAATTATCACCGGGGAGCCGTAATATTACACAACAGA